GGCCCGGGCTGGATTTGAACCCGCCACCTTAGGTGTATGTGGCTGGTGCCTTAGCCACTTGAGCCACAGGCGCCGAGCCATAATGAAAACTTTTATCTGAAATTCAAAATTGGGCATGCTGTATTTTTTTCTGGTAACCCTACACTAGGACTTCATGGGCTGTTCCAGGGCACTAGAGTGCCATTATTGAGGGTTGTAGGTTAGGCATTGCTCTGCAGCCAACCCCTGCAGAAGAATGAGGAAAGCCCTGTGTCTTGGCTGAGGTCTAGAATGCCTTGTTCCATCTACTTAGCATTTAAGGTCCCCCTTCCTCTGGCACCTTGTCTCTGAAACTTTTGCAGAATTTTTACCCTTTTCCCCTAGGGGGGAAAGGATTTCTCTTCTTTTAGTTTGCTCATCTGCAGTATAGGGATAAACTAGTACTCATCCCAAAGACTGTGGTAAGGAATCAGCAGGGTAAATATGGAATGAGCAGAGTCCCCTGCAAGGGGGAACCTCTAGGTTGGTGGTTGTAATTCTTTCTCCCCATGAAAAGAACATGAAGGTCACACTAGGTTGGCTACTAAGATGCTTGGGATTAAAATGAAGAAACTGCTTCACCTTAGAGCTACAGCAGTGAGCAGCTCTGGCCTTGGGCTCAGGTGGGCAAGGTGGGAGCTATGGTTCCGGACTTCGTCTGGATAGCCTGACTGGCCCCTCCATCAAGAAAGTGTAGAGGTCTAGATGTGGGCCAGGTACTTATTCCTCACTCCAGTCAGAGGGCCTGTTAGCCCCAGGAGGGGTGGTCTGACCCAGTAACCAGACACCCTCTTCCCAAGCAGGCAACATCTGTCTTCTTTCCTCCAGGGTCCTGGCCTTGAGGCTCTGGAAGCCTTTATTGTTTTATTTATTTATTTATAGTTTTGGCTGGGGCTGGGTTTGAACCCGCCACTTCTGGCATATGGAGCCCGTGCCCTACTCCTTTGAGCCACAGGAGCTGCCCTATTTTTTTTTTAGAGACAAGAGTCTAATTCTGTCATCCTCATTAGAGAGCTGTGGCGTCATAGCTCACAGCAACCTCCAGCTCCTGGGCTTAGGCGATTCTCTTGCCTCAGCCTCCTGAGTAGCTGGGACTATAGGCGCCCGCCACAATGCTCGGCTATTTTTTTTTGTTGCAGTTTGGCCAGGGACGGGTTCGTACCCGCCACCCTTGGTAAACGGGGCCAGTGCTCTACCCACTGAGCCACAGGTGCTGCCTATATTGTTATTTTTTAAAAGATAGCTTTTGGGGCCAGGCTGGTGGCTCATGCCTGTAATCCTAGCATTCTGGGAGGCTGAGGTGGGAAGATTGCTTGAGTTCCTGAGTTTGAGACCAATCTGAGCAAAAGCGAGACCTTGTCTTCACTAAAAATAGAAAAAACTGAGGCAAGAGGATCACTTGAGCCCAATAGTTGGAGGTTGCTGTGAGCTATGATGCTATGACACTCTACTCAGGGTGACAGCTTGAGACTATCTCAAAAAAAAAAAAAAGACAGCTTTTTCCTTGGAAGCTTTAGTGAAGATGACATGAGACAAAATACATCAAGGGACTGGCACATGGTAGGTGCTGGAAGCATCATGCCCTATAGCTACCAGGGACCTGGGTTGCCGAGGCCTTCACCTGCAACAGAGCAGTAATTGGGATTCTGAGGTCCTGGTCACCTGTCTTTATAGCTACCCAGTCCTCACCCTCAGGCAAATATACTGGATGAGAACCATTTGAAGTGAAAATATGAACATTATTTAATAACTGATCTTCTGTAATAAACCATTTGAAAATATTTTACAAGGAATCACACACACAATATTTTACAAAGTTTCTTGACTTTTTTGTCACTGTTGTTTTTCCGACTTCTGTACAAAATAGAACAACAACCAAAAAAAGGTCAGAGAAAAGGAAATGGCCCCCCAGTCCACAGTGAGGGAGCAGCCAGGTCAGGTGAGTGATGGGAAGAATAAGACCCAGCTGGGGGATGGACAACTACCTGATGGGGATTGTTTTGTCTGTTTTTCTGTTTTTTAAACTTAAAATATATATTTTTCTGTATTTTTTTTAAAGTTTTATATTCTCCATTGAGCACCTGACTACACTACAGTTACACACATGCCCCTGCAGGACACAACTGGAATCCAGGCTGGGTGCACATCATGGACACCCACCCTGTCACCAGCAGTGGGCATGGACCATACACACACACTGAGAAAGCAACAAGCAACATGACATTAATTAACGGAGCCATTAATTAATGCATCACCCTCCCCCCTCCTCCCAGTCCATCTGAGCCCCATGGCTACATCCCCTTGCCCTCAGTTCCCCCACTGGCCCCCAAACTGGGATGCCTTTAGGGGAAATGACCAGAATGAATGATATGA